CACATAAATGCTATTCAACTACTCTACACCACAATCTTACCTCACGCACGCTAGTGTGCCACTCACAAAAGATAGTAATTAATCTGTCTCTCTATCCGTCTATATATTACATCACACGTCATACTTTAAATTATATATTAATTATTATTTTTATTTATCTACTTTCCTTGTCTTGTGTAAGTTTGTACACTGGCCTATGTGAGGTAAGCTTTAAAAGCAATAATATAATTATAAACCAACAGACCCCCCCCCCCCAATTATTCCCAATGTGGGATCTCGGCTGCACCTAGGTAGGATTGTCAGGGTTATATTATTGCATCTACGGTGGATCTAGGGCTGGGTCGTACTGTCTCTACTCTCACTCTCAGGCCATGTCGAATAATGCAATGCACCACTCACAACCCGGGTCAAACTCCACGACAGATGGCGCTCCCGCTCTCGCTCATTTACCACTGCCACAAGCAGATTTCCGTAAGAATTTCTTACGCTTTTTTACTATAAGTTTTACAGCGGCCCCGTTACTCCTGTCCTATGTAATACGGTTTGTACAAGTTTTATAAAAGTTGCAAACATAATACAAATCGGACCATTATTTCATGAAAAATTTGATAAAATTGTGATACGAAATAGTATGCGCATTGTGCGCGCATTTACAACTTTCAAATCATTACGCTGTTTACTAAACTAAGTTCACGTGTTTATTTACTATTTCTCATGAATTTTTCGGATGCTTGCCAATATACCTAATTCTCGAATATTGTCTTTGATGCATTTTTGCGTATTCAGCTTAAAACATCTAAATTTGTCCACCGACAAACATTAAAAACAGAAATTTTCTGATGTCTTGATCAGCGGCGACTTCACGGCCATTGGATTGCCATTCGCTGGATTTTCCCGGAGCTCCGCCCACTTGAAAAATAGTACCAGCCTTGTGGCAGTGGTATCATGAGTTGTACGAAGGGGGCGCTGCATGCAGTTTGAACCCGGGTAAGCATACAACTTTTATTTTTATCATTACAGTTTTACACCCTGTACTAAAGCTGATAGAGTCTATGTGTCCCTGGGTATTGCCGGACACTGTGGCTGCCATTGTCAATAACAACAATCAATAATATCAACAATCAACAAACAATGTCAGCAACAATAACAGCAGTTAGTAGCAATATTAGTAGCAGCAACAACAACAGCAGCCGCAGTGTCCGGCAGTAACCAGGGAGACATGGACCTTATGAGCTGCACTAAACGAAGCTTTCTTCGGTAATCCAGTATTGACTAGGGCTGTAACGAATACACTAGGTCACGAATACGATACGTATCACGATATATGCATGTAAATACGAATATTTCACGAATACGAATACTCACTTGTTGAAGCTGTAAAAACTACCAAGGAATAAAAGATATATATATATATATATATATATGAATGAACAAAAATGCTTTAAATATGTTAACGATAGAATGACGCGCAATGATGCCCTGGCTCCTAGGGTGTTTTAGCAGACTCACATGAAAATGTGTATGTGTGTCTGAGTGTAAGCACGCGTGTGCGCATGTGTGTGTGTGCGTACGTGTGTGTGTGTGTGTGTGTGTGTGCGTACGTGTGTTTGCGTGTGCGTGTGCGTGCGTGTTTGCGTGTGTGTGCGTGCGTGTGCGCGCGGGTGTGTGTGTGTGTGTGTGTGTGTGTGTGTGTGTGTGTGTGTGCATACGTGTGTTTGCATGTGCGCGCGCGCGTGTGTGTTGTCCGCTATGCCTCCGGACAACTTTCGTCCGTGAACGAACAACATATAGCGAACGTTAGTGAAACGCGCTACGCACTCGCGATCAATCGAGCCCCGTACTTCAATCAAAGGCGTCGCTTCCGCACACATGGCTGGAAAAACACGGCATGGCTGTGTCAGATTTTCGTGACATCACTGTACACATGTATATCACATGTCAACAAGAAAACCGCGGTATTGAGCTGGTTACGGTATGATAATTCTAAAATATTACACCGCGATAATATCGCAATACCGGTATATACCGCTGCAACCCTAGTATCCGTCCCTTCTCACACGCTCGATATGGGGTGGGTGACACGTGATAGTAAGATACACATCCTGGCCCTCTTGACGTGTGAAAAGGGACTGTACCAGTCTAGGTGCATTTACGAGGAAAGCTGCAAACGACATTCAGAATTCGAGCAAATCGGCATAGAATTGCAGTTTAAAAATGATTTTTTCAAGTAGGTTCCATTTATATTATTTGTATTCGTCAGTATTCGAGTAATGACTATGCGAATAACGAATACGTACGTATCGTCCAACAACAATATTCGGTGCACCGAATATGCAAGTGTATCGTTACAGCCCTAGTATTGAGTCTGTTGACCTATTTCATTTTTTAAAACATTCACTCACTTTGTCTTTGGTATTCCGTAAAGTCCCTTGGACTTTCACTTGGTGAAGACTAACTCATATCATACGACTATGGTTGGCCATCACACTCAGAAATAATAAAATTTACCCCCAGATTAGTGTAGCACATTGCGGGGGCTCAAAACTATCCTTTAAGATCCAATTTACCACAGTAGAAATAATTTAACTATGGTAAAATTATAGCCCTTTAACCCAATCAGAGGCTTTATTAGTATTACACATAATTTTACCCAGGGAAATTTTTATTGCAGTAAAAATTATTCAGTGGCTGGAGGTACGGCAGCCGTATCTCCAATTTACGAGGCTGCAGATCTGGCAGTCCATTTGCGCATGCGTCGCTTTCCCACAAAATAAGGCCGTTGGAAATTAATTAATGATTTAAGAGTTTTGTGAGCTAGAAAACACTCGGATTAAGTGTGAAAATGAACGTTTGAAATGTACATTTACTCCAGCTAGCCTACACCAGTTGGTTGGGATTGATCGTCAGTGCAGATGCAAAAGGTTGAAAGCCAAAGGTGATACACCATAGATAATTTTTGTATTGTGATACGAATCTATAAGACAGTCGAATCACGGCAGGGCTCGAATTAACCGACGACACCGACGGCAATTGCCGGCGGTGCCCCTATCAATCGCCGTACTGCCCCTGAAAATCCAACCCGACCGACGGCAGTGACCTGCCTTGCCCTTTTCTGTAATTGCCATCGGTGCCTCTGGCTAGACTGGTTCGCGGCCGCACTGTTTGTCGCAGAGCGTGTACATTGTCTAGCAGAGCGTGAGGCCGGATACCACTGGTATTACCAGGCTACCTTTCGGCAAAAACAATAATATATAACGTGGCTTGCTGCCAACCGCTGCCAGTAGACGATCGATAAATCGTGCGCCTGTGTATGCCCATGGTAAAACACGAATATTTAAATGCTGCACGTGGACTCGGCCCGCGCGCGATTTAAAGCGCGAGAAACAACGCTCGCGCAAGAATGGCCAGCTGTGATCTGTACGGTGTGTTTAAATCGATTCATAGATCGAATGTAACTTGATTTTTAACCCTGAGTTAAGAGTTAATCCAGGTTCGAACCAGAGTTAAATTTTAACTCTGAGTTAGGCATATTTAACTCAGAGTTAAAGTTAATCCACGACTGTGAAACGGAATTTAACTCTGAGTTAAGGAATTTAACTCAGAGTTAAGAGTTAAACCACGACTGTGGAACCGGGTCCTGAGGTCTGTGCTGATATTTTTTTAGTACTTTAACTTTAGTGCTACAAAACTAGTTTGAAAACCGTGCTACAGCTACGGCTCCAGGGAATATCCACGATAAACAGCAACTAACTCCAGATGAGTTTTTGAATCAAGTTCAGAGCTCGAATCACCGAAAACCAATAGGAATCCTGATAATGAAAGTGAGCAAGCTGCTAATATTGTCCCTTCCTCTTCTCTTCAGTGATTCTAATTCTGAATTCTTTTTCCTGTATTACCTTCCAGTATTATCATGATACTTTGTTACATTATTAAACGCTCATTAATTTCACTTGGAACGTATATTTGCATTCATAATTTTTTTTGGTCTAGTACATCTGTTTTTTAGGTCCTTTAGCTGAGATTTTTGGTGGGAATGCAATTCTAATTATACAATGAAAGTCAATAAAAAACGTGATCCATGTTGCACATTGGCCATTTTAATAATAGAATTATGGTAAATAAAAACAAATAATATTTTTTACTAAACAGCCATTCCATCTAAGTGTATACACCAAAATTGAAAACTGAAATGAGAGCTAGTGACATGTCTGATGTGCTTTTATTAAGAGAAATAATGAAATGGTTTAAATCCAAAATTTCATGTAAATAGGCCCATTTAAAGGCTCACAATGCGCATCCAAACGCTAATTTCTCCAGTACTAGACTAGCAAATACTTCGTGGCATGCATACTCACACTACCTTATGCAAGGCTCGACACTAACTTTTTTTTTCAGTGGCCCGATCGGGCCACCAAAATCATTGATTTTCAATTTTTTGTGGCCCGAAAATAAAATCTGGTGGCCCGAAAAAAAACAAAGAAAAACATTATAAATCTTTATTTCAATCTCGTATTGTATATTATTTGAAAATTGGGCCGTCTGATGCACTTGCACAAGTCTTTAAACAAACAACACACACTGACATTGATGATTGAGGCATACATTTGAATTATCCATTCCACGGCTCATTCAGCTACACACAGATGCCAATATCATGGCGTTTGGACGTTTATTTCTTCTCTAGTGCATCGACAAAAGTGGAGCGTTCTGGAATTTCTGTGATCACGCTTTCTTACCTTCTCCTATCTACTGTGTATTTGTGCATGCACAATGGCGTGCGGGCTATGTCACATGTGTTGCAGCGGTGTATTGAACGGTGTTGAAGTGAAGTTATTAGGTCAAATCAAACATTAAGACTATTGCTGGTACTGTAGTACTAGTACTAGTACTAGTAGGCTACTGACAAGTTGTATTTATTAACCATCATTTTATTATTGAAACGGTCCAAGTGCCTGTGCTCAGGCCTATTCCACGTTTGAAATCTGAACTTACACACTTACATTCGCCAGAATAGTTTGCTATTTATACGAGGGATGGATGACTCGTACCACTGACAGGAAATCAAAATAACGCAGATTACACGAAATGACAAAAAGTAGACAACACACGAATCTTCCAACTCCGAAACAAAAACAAAGAGAAATGCAATGGCAACGGTTCACTGCAACGGTTAGGCAGGGATAGGCTACCTACATGGACGCCACCTACTGGCTAAATTACATTGTATTAGTGATCATTGGTTCGTTCATAGAAATAGATAATGCCTGTGGTTCGTTCAGCCCTGAGGTTCAGCCAGGCCCCTATCATTATTAAAGAAAGGCACGAGTAACTAGTTTAAATGTATAAATTTAACACAATATTATTTTACTAGGGAGAAACTGGGCATGAGCGAAGAGAAGTCCTCTGCAAAGCTCTCTAATGTGCTCGGAATGTGCTCTCTAAATTTAACGTGTCATTTCTTTGACTAGTCTTCACGGATCAGTGATCTCTATACACTAACCATAATAACTATGATAAACATACACTAACTATGATATTTATATATTATATATATTGTAAAACACATACGCCATCTATTGGCTGGTTCAACTTTTATTAACATTAAAATTACATGTGCCAGCCACTGATCTCTACTATATTAACGTTAGTATATTACGTTAGTATAGTAGAGATCAGTGGTGCCAGCTGGCATGCAGCCCTGCAGGGCCCCCTATGATAAATAGTGCAAATGTGCAATGTGTAAATGATTGTAAATGATTGTATTGATTTCTATCAGGAGTTGATAATGACAAATTTGTCATTATTAACTCCTTATTCTATGTATGTTTCGCGCAAAATGTTTATTTTTATCTGTTTTCTAATTTATATGTGATGGTCGGCGGAAAAGCCATGGTTAAAATTTTAATGATTTCAGAAAAACGCTAGGTTCGTTGGGAGGGGGATAACCGATAAGTGCAAATGTGCAATGTGTAAATGATTGTAAATGATTGTATTGATTTCTATCAGGAGTTGATAATGACAAATTTGTCATTATTAACTCCTGATTCTATGTATGTTTCGTGCAAAATGTTTTATATTTTATCGGTTTTCTAATTTATATGTGATGGTCGGCGGAAAAGCCATGGCTTATGTTTCTTTGTTCAACACTACCGACATTAAATAAAGCTTACTCTACTCTACTCTACTCTATTATTAGTAAAAAATGTCACCAAGATGAATCTTTGCCCGATGAGTATTTGTCTCCATTTTAAATGAAAATGCTCAATTATAATAAATTACTATGGACACTAGAAATGAGTGAAATGAGGTCTCGCTATGCCACAGAAATATAGCCTCCTCTTCCTTACGAAAGTGACTAGTGCTAATGCCCACGTGAATGTAAAAATAACATTATACACATGAACATTGAATCACAATACATAATTTGAAAATGTTTTTAACGTGTTGAAATTTTTATTATACAAATTGTTTTCTTCTTTTTGCACAATATCGATGTACCACAAATACTGCCTAAACAAAAATATATTTGAAGACATAATAAATACATAGTATACTAGTCTATGGCTCGATTATGAAATCTGACTCTCTAATATGTACAATGTCCGTATACCTAGTATACCTAGTATACCTAGACCATATGACATCTTGTCCACTATCGAAGTGTGTTAGGAAGAAAACAACAGTGATTGCCACACAATTGCCAGCAATTTCATTGCAGTTAGTTACCAGACAAGTAAAGGCTTGGTTATGTAGGATAAAAATATTTTATACTAACAATTTTCAACTATAACTACTCACAATAATTTTTATTGGTGATTCTATTGCAAAAAATTTTAAAATCATAATCATATCACGGTCAAGTTTTATTGTGCTTGCGGTCATGTGATTTCAGTACTTTTGCTTTTTTCGTACCCTTAGTCTTGGTTTTACTCTTTTTGGAACTTTTGCACTTTTTACTGTTTTTATGAGATTTGCTGTGTTTCTTGTGCTGCCTATCATTTGAGAATGACTCTCTTCTTTTACATCTTTTAATACCCTTTTTGTGGTCATCTTGACAATCTTTAGATTGCTCTTCAGGAGGTGAAATGCCGTTTTTCAGTCTTGTTTCAAACTCTTCAGGATACAGTTCCTTATACCCACTATGACCCCACCTGTCTCTGTTCGTCCCCTCAAATTGCATTAGCTTTTGTGTCCAATATAAGTCATTTGAATGTTTTCCGAAATCCCGGCTGCTTTCTGCTGATGACGGACTAGAAGTGGACCCAAGAGTGTGTTTCGAACTCTTGTGAGACACATGTCTACTGTCTCTGCATCTATCTTTACTTGCATGTTTCCGTTTCCTGGCTTTGGCTTCCCGTTTCTCGGCTTTCAGCTGTCTCCACATTTCCTGCTCCTCCGTAATCCGGTTATGAGTTTCAGTATGTCGTACTATGTTCCTCAGAAGCAGCTTGCTATCTTGTGACAGCATCTCTGCACCTAAATTAAAGCAATACCAAGATGATTAATATAATTTAAATAAAAATAACATGATAACAAATGGCAATAATAACTGATATGATAAAATGATCAGTGATTTTGAAGCCCATCTGCACAGTGCCAAATGTTTCAGTAGACTTTAGCTAGTTAGTAAACAAATCAATGTAGTTGAAACAGCTATGGCCATCCAAAACATAACCATCCTGGACTGAAATTAGATTATCATGCAATAAGCGTGTGTGTGTGTGTGCATCTAGTGCAACTAGGTTCGTAGTACGTACACACTACTAGCAGTACGATAGTACTATAGCCATGTGGTAGCGAGTAGGATCGCGTGTACTGCATGAATGAACATGACGTGTCTATATGTGTATGTGTGTGTGTGCGTGGGTGCGTGCGTGTGTGTGTGTGTCTGTGTGTGTGTCACTGTGTGTGTGTGTGTGTGTGTGTGTGTGTGTGTGTAGTGTATGTGTGTGTGTGGTGGTGTGTGTGTGTGTGTGTGTGTGTGTGTGTGTGTGTGTGTGTGTGTGTGTGTGTGTGTGTGTGTGTGTGTGTGTGT